CTTCTAATATAATTAAAGATTATGTAGTGGTTGTAAAGGAATGGATATTATATTAATCATGGTAAATTTATTTTTTTTCATTTCCTTTGGGAAGTGGAAATTACTGAATTTTATTTGATTGATTATTTCATCATCATCATAATCATCATCACCATCATCATCATAGTTACAAGTATTCAAGCAACCGCTCAATTTGTGCAAAAATAAAACAATTTCGTAAGTATAACATAGCGTGCCATACTTGCCAAGAAATCAATTGGCAAAGTCTTGACAAGTTACATACTAATTTGTTTATTATAGTTTTGACACGGTTTTGATTTGGGGTTTGGCAAGGGTACAACAGACTAATTATTTATTAAGAATTTTGGAAGTTTCAGAAGCAACCTTAACTGTAAATATGATAATTTTGGGTAATCAATGATGATCTTATTATTAAGAGTTAGTAGTCTATTTATGTTGGGGATCCTCTCAATTAGCCAATAAAGATTTTGGTAAATTCATTAGTAAATTTTGAATAATAGCAAATTATTTATTTATTATAGATGAATTTCTAATTTAACTTCATTTGAATTTTTATTCTGATCTGAATCTTTTTTCACTGAATCGTTACTAAAATTAACATGATTGTCTTTATTATTCTTTATTGAATTTTCTGAATTGTAACTAACATTATTATTATCATGAGTAGTTTTTTTCCATTTTTCTAATTCAGTCTCCAATTCAGATATTCTTTTCATTGCCTCAAAATATTTGGCACGAATGTTTTTACATTTCGGGTACGATGGATTTAAATCAAGCAATTTATCTTGAATTTCTGTTATTGTTTCTAGCATTATTCCGTTTTGTTTTTGTAACATACGTATCTTTTTTTTTTTACTAATTTCAGCTCCTTTTAGAATGTCAGCGATTGGTCTTTGCTTAAGTTTGGCTCTTTTATGATTCTCCCATTCTGATACGAAATTTGATCCGATGATAGATGTTAGTAATGCTATCACCAATATACCACAAATCATAGTTGCTCCAGCTATAATTCTGCCTGATGCAGTGATAGGTACTGCATCTCCGTAGCCGGTTGTGGTCAATGTGGCTATTGACCACCAAAAGGTACCTATTATTGACTGGAATGGACTTATTTCCGTATCATTTCCATTATAACGATACCATGTCAAAGTAGTCGGTTCGAGGAGCTCTCCATGCTCAAAATCATACATAATTGTTGATGATACAAGTAGAGCTATCAATAAATACAATGAAACCATAAGTATTTGATGCATTGATTTTTTGAATACTTTGGCCGTTATCTAAATATAAAAAATACCTTATGATTTATATTTTATCATTCGTATTTATATTGCATGAGAAAAGAAAAATAAAGAATATTTACACCAATTCCAATTGAAACTCTTGTTACATGAATTATTCGTAGTATTTTCAATAATCTAATAATTCTGAAAACTCTTAAAAGTGACTGTAAAATCAAAAAAAAAAAAAGAACTTGGTTACTATTTCATCACTTTTTCAAAAGTTATCCCTTTTTAAAATAGAACAGAAATTTACTTCAGCTCGACTTCCTAGTATGTTTATAAATTGTAGATAAAATGGCAAAACGGACAAGAAGTCAACTACATTTGATGGTCC